AATTGAGCTTTTCGATTACCCGATCGTAATTTAGCACAATATCGAGGCCTTTCGTTTGTTTTCAGAAACAATTCAATAAGTTGAATGGGTCAAGCATAATGTCTTTATCGGTGAATTACTATCTTGTTGAGAAAAGAATATAATTGGCGAGGTTCGGATTAATATGCGAGTAATGTGGAATGGTAATAGTGTCGATTTCTTTCGTTAATTTTCTTTTTTATTTATTTATTTTTTTTTTTTTAACATATTTTTGAAAACCATTCTATCCATAATTAAAGGTGCCGAAGCAGCAGACTTGGCTTCAAGGCCTTCTCGCTCATTTGCCAAGAGACCAATACGACTCAACAGCCAAGAAAAGTTTTATTTTCATCTCCGCATGTGAAAATGGCATTACTTAATTTAATATTAGTTTGTGTTCCACTTTCAGTTGGATGGGGGTTGAAGGGGGTTGCGATCAACCAATTCTCTATGTTTTTTAACCGCTTTAAGCACATTTTTGATGGCTTGTGCAAATAGCTCTCGATTCGTTTGCAATTGTTGACTATTTCTTTGTTTCCTTCGAAAATACTGAATGAGTAATTAATGTAGAAAAGTATGCTATCAACAATTTGCCGTAATTAGATCTTCTTATGCATAATTGCATGAAATCGTTAAGGTAAAGAAATGAAAGAATTTTTCCTTTATGTGAATGCAAAGCATCATTTAAATATTTATCGAATCGCATAATTCTCTTCACTGTTCAGCAATATAATAATAATTCATATTATTGTTCATTATGATAATATTTACAATAGAACGACTCTCCTAATTGTGCAGCAAATAAAAGCACTCACTTATTCATCCTTATGACGTAATCTATTGCTCTTTGCTCGAATGATGTTATGCTAGTTCAATTTTCTTTGAAATTCCTTTGAAGGAACACATAGAACTTTAATATGCCAATGCCCTTGAAACTGTTAAGCGACTTTTACATAAGTGATTTCTCCATTTAAGCTAAACGTCGCTTAGTTTCTTTTTGGAAAGGTTCTATGCATACACACACATATATATATATATACCTACATATATACCGATATATATGTATATATATATACCTATGTGAGCTATGTGTACTTGTACTTTGAATCAGCCATCATATAAAATACGAAAGAAATCTTAAAAAAAAAAAGAAATGTTTGAGGTTTATAGTTAAATTCTTTGTATAGTTACGTAGCATAAATTATGGCATGTTTTGCATAACTTGTTGAGATGAACTCTAACTGAATTTCAAAATTTCTCTTCTATTTCTATTATAAATGATGTAGTAATTCTAAATATTCTTTTTTCCTTTCTATTACAATCTATCTAAGAGTGTAACAAATAAATGTGATAGTAGGGTATGGAGAAAAACTAATACAAACTTAAAAGATTTATTCAAATAATTTAAAGGACAAAAATGAAATAATTTCAAAATGAAACCGAACCAGTATATAATGCAGTTTCAATCCTCTTATCTCAATCGTTTCATTTAAAAATTCTAAGTAATCGAATATGAAAGAAACATTCTTTCGAATTATCATGGAGTTAAGATGAAACTTTTATACCTCTCGTCAAAGTTTCCGCTTTTTGAAAGGCAATTGTTCACGTTTCTTAAGAATATCTGTTATGAACAGCAATCTCCTTAATCGTGACAGCATGCTTTATAAGCAATATTACTGAAAGTAATAGTTGATAGAATTAGAATACCAAGTCACACATGAAGTGTTATTGAATGTTTTTTTCTCGCAAACTGCCAAACACTCATTAGTGAGCGTTCAACAGGTGAAGATGTAACGCTTATCAATTGAATAGGCATCCGCTAGGTTACTAGCTACTTCCTATCCCTCCGTTCTTTCGTTCCCCATCGCCATGTGACAAATATAGAAGACATCCTTTAAGCGCTTGGTCATATTAAAAAAAAAAAAAAAAAAAAAAAAAAAGTTTAATCAAATAATAGGAAGAGAGATATACTTACAATCGCATCCTTTCCATCCATAGTCCTCAGTTACATGTATATATTCTTCGTGTTCTTATCCATCATCTCGCTAAATAGTCCAAAAACTGAATTGTAGTATATACGAAAGTGTAGCGATAAATTTATGGAGTTGGCACTTGCATGAAAATATTTATCATTTCGTACTCAAGCAAGTAAGAAAATTACAATCGCTGGCGACCGAGTATTTTATACCCTTCACTTTGGTCCCTAAAGAGATTAAAAGCAGATGAGGAATAGAATTAAATTTTCATACCCTATAATGTTGTGATGAGTGGGGGCGTCTGATTCCTGGTTCCGGTTTCAGAATAAAAGTGAAAATTTATATGTTGTCTGTGTTATATAGTCTATGATATAATCGGCAAAAAACAGGAAAAGCAAAATGTTCTCAGTTTTATTCGTACAAACGCGTGGATATTGTACACGATTTCTTCACTTTTGCGAAAGGCACTACTGCATATTTGCGCAGACGGACAAATAAACAAATAAAGAGATGGATGAACAAACGGACATGCTCACGTGCATTTCAAAATTTCAAAATACCCAAGAGTTTATACACATTTTGGGATCTTTGAAGCATGCTTCTGCGCGCTATAAAGATATTAAATTACAATATTGAATAGGCGTGGTCATTTTTCATTATTTAGGGTACCAAGACTACAGCATCTCCCATAGAACGTTCAAAATTTTTCTACATACATCTGTTGCAGTTTATATGAGTAAGGAGCAAAAAAACCAATCCTTCACTTCTTTTGGAAAACCGAGGCGTTCTCAGTAGACATGGTAGTGTAGGCGCATGCAATACTTTCCAATGTTTCTGCCAAACTTGAAATCGATAAATTCCTGTTTTGCGCCCAGGATAATGTTTACAACAGACATAGAAACAGAGGGACAGACAGACGAATATGTTTAAATCGTTTCACAATTTTATACTGATAAAGAACATCTACACATCTTTGTGAAGTCTCTGAAGCTGCATTCGTTGCAGACGTTTTGGCAAAATGAATACAGCCCTCATCCCTCGGCTATGGATATAAAAGTATTTTTTGTTTTGAGAAATTCTATCAAATATAGAAATCAACTGCCTGCATATTATACTCTGTACAATTATGAATATGTGCATATATTCGCCATATTTGATGTAAGGTTTTTTTTTTTAGACACACACGCAATTTGCTTAATGAAATCTATACGCTTTTGTTATTTACAAAAACATTTCTAAACTTATGATCATTGCATAACATGTATTATGTACATACCTTCCTTTATGATTTCAACCGGATTATTTTATCTTCCTTTAACCTATTGTGCAACAAAATTGCAAATGCCCATAATAGAAATTAAATTTAAATTACTGAACTCAAAATATGATAATCTTAGAAAATTGAAAAATTAGATTTGTAGCATTAAGAAATGCATTAAATATATTTTAAAAAATATACATACATACATACATACATACATACATACATACATACATACATACATATAATTGATTGTTTCTTCAAATGTTGGGAAAAGAGATTTGGACGGAAAACAGAATGTTTTAGCGTAACTTTTAACGGCTGCGAAAGCAGTTATTAGAGCATACATCAATTTCTATCATCATGCTACTAAACTGATTCTGTGTTATGAAAATCCTAACAGATGGTATTAAAAAAAAAAAAAAAAAAAAAACACGAGCTAACAAGTGTCATATTCCGTTTATGTGTTTTTGAGGGACAAGATAATTCGAATTCTTGCCTGAAAGTGTTCTCTTACACTAGGACATTACTTATTGGTTAATTATCGTAACCAGTGCTAGCAGGCCCCCTTCCCTAATGTCGCCTAAGTGCGTTCTGCTGATGTAGAATATTTGCTGCCTTTCCTGCTTAGTAATTTTTGCAGTAAAGAAAGAACAAGTAGGCACTCTACAGTACGCCACGACCCATCATTAAATACTCATAAGAATTACAAAAAAAAATAAAAATAAAAACCGAATTATATGGAGAATAGTCAAAAGAGCCAAAGATTATAAGGGGGAATAGTCGAAAGAGCGCTCCGATCTAAACCATTCATCCTTTGCCCAAAACAAGTTGGTTTACCAAACTTTATCACATTATCTCAAAAATTGTGACTTGTAGATTGAGCACCAAAAAAAATATAAGGCGGACAGATGGACTGGCAAACTTTGAAATAACCTATGAATCGATCGATACAAAATAATTCCGAGTTCAGTCGTTGCAATAAAAAGGTAGGGGATCTACCTCAGTTCCTTATCGGTGTTGTATAAATTCGTATTTACTCACTTATTATGTTTTTGCATTACAAATGGCATAGAGTGCAGTGATTGCAGTATCGAGCAGATAGTGTAAATCCAGTGAAACGATGACAATATAGAGGATTAAAAAGCTCATTACACTGCTCTGTAGAAATTTCGGTGTCATCCACGTCTCTATTAAATATTACAAACGTTTATTATTATTTCTCTTTTTACAGAATATTTTTGTAACTATTTTGGAAATAATGTCATTCTAATTAATTGACGATATGAATGTATATCGTATAGATCCATTAATCATGTAAAATATTCCTAACTAACTAAAATTCAGAAAAGGAGTGGAATAGAAAGAAAAGCGAATAGTTAATGTTAATGACAAAATTTTTTTTACAGAGTTATTTAAAACCATTTCTGTTGGGTTTTTTTTTTTTTTTTTTTTTTTTCTTTTGGTTTTCAAATTTTTTGCGCTCTCATCTATACACAAAAATGTTAGATTTAATTACAGAAAATTTCTGAAATTAATCTTAACACACATCGCATTTCTTTTCATTATATGAATTTGCATTCATCGTAAGTATGCTATCATGGTTGTAGCGTATCTTTCACATCTTGCGATATATATTGCTTTAATTTCGTCTTTTTTTTTTCTCTCTCTCTCTCTCTCTCTCTTTCTCTTTCTCTCTTTCACTCTCTCTTTCTCTCTCTCTCTCTTTTTCTCTCTTTTCGTAGAGCCTTCAAAATATTCAAGTGTATGTGCAACGAAAGATGTTATTGCAACTGAAATTGAATAAAAATGACTGACTGCTATAAAATTCGCTTGATGCTGCTTTAGCCAACTTTTTCAGTTTCAATTGTATATAAATACAAAGGAACGGTATGAGAGAAGAAAAAAATTTTTTCTACAAGTAGCACTTGAAAACATTATTCATAACGGGCACTAGCATCAACTTAGAGAAAGATATGAGGCGAATTTCAGTGATATTATTAATGAGCTTTATAACTCATGCCGCAACTCAAACGAAAAATGGTTTATATATAATGAATTCAAGCAGTGTAATAACAACACAAGCAACACCAGCGACGCCATCGATTTCATATTCATCAACACCTCAAATTTTAAAGAGCTTAACGCAGAGTTTAGACTTACACTTAGCCAAAGATCGTAAAACACTAACTTTGCTCAAAACTTTGGCAAACTTCAAGGACCAATTTTTACCCACATTAGATCTCTTACACTTGAATGGAAATGAATTCTACAAACATATAAATATAAGTATGTTGGATGCAGAAGTAACAGCATTTAATTATAGTTTGTTAAATGCAAGTCTATTATACGAAAATGATGATGAAAATGATGCTTGCACATCCGGACAGCACAACGTAATAACACTAATTGCAATGATTTTGTATTCGCTTGTATGCGTTGTAGGACTTTTTGGCAACACTTTAGTGATTTATGTAATTTTGCGATTTTCCAAAATGCAAACTGTCACCAATATATACATTCTCAATCTGGCTATAGCCGACGAGTGCTTTCTAATTTGCATACCCTTCCTATTATATACAATGCAAATTGGTAGTTGGCAATTTGGTGAATATCCATGCAAGGCGTATATGGTTAGCACATCTATTACTCAATTTACTTCATCGATATTTTTATTGATAATGTCGGCAGATCGTTATATCGCTGTATGTCATCCTATCTCTTCGCCCAGATATCGTACACCATTGGTGTCGAAGATTGTCTCGGTTGTTGCATGGTTAACTTCGGTGCTGCTGATGGTGCCGGTAATATTGTTCGCTAGTACCATAAAAAACGGTGAACGTTTGACCTGCAACATCAGATGGCCAGAAACCGAGTATACTCAATCGGGCATTACATTTATATTGTATACTTTAACATTGGGTTTTGCTCTACCGCTCACTTTTATATTGGGTTTTTACTATTTGGTAATACGTAAATTGCGTACCGTCGGACCGAAACATAAATCTAAAGAGAAGAAACGATCTCACCGAAAAGTAACTAAACTGGTTTTAACGGTGATTACAGTATACATACTATGTTGGTTGCCCTATTGGGTATGCCAGGTGGCCTTGATAGCATCCCCAGCCTTTTGCGCTTCGCGGCTCGAGATAACCATCTTCCTGTTGGTGAGTTGTCTGGGCTATTCAAATTCCGCTATGAATCCTGTGCTATATGCCTTCCTCAGCGACAATTTCAAGAAGTCCTTTATGAAGGCGTGCGTTTGTGCGACACGAAAGGATGTAAATGCACAATTACAAGTCGAGCACAGTATGTTTCCTAAATGGAGTAAAGCACGTAGTGCCACTGAGAGTAATATAAGGAGTTCACAAAAGCATAAGGAGAACAACATGAAAAAACAACAATTAATAACAAGCAGTAATATCAATGGCAAAGGATTAATGAAATCGTCGACTACTGCAACAACAAGCGTTACTTGCACTACAACAGTCACCACTAACGAGGCATGTAATATAATTTACCCAAGCAGCGTTCAACACAATAATAGTTTGTTGACTGCGCCACTCAATACTTCTACACTTTCTATAACCGGAACAGCAAAAAATACGACTTTACTTATGTTAAACAACAGTATGGAAACTAATAAAATTCTCCCTGAGAATACTGCTGAAATGGAAAATAATTACGAAAGTCATGTAATACATACGAATTTATAAAATTATCTCGCTAGGGATATTAAGATTGACTAAAAAAAAAAAAGAAAAACAAAAAACAAAAAAAAAAAAAAAGAAAATAATTCAGAAGCACAGATTATGTAAATATTATACATAATACTTATACAATATACATTAGAAGTCAGTAAACTAAAGCATGTAGTTACGGTATCAAGGTACGCGTGCTCCTATAGTTAGTGGGATAAAAGAATGCTGTGAGATATTTGAACATATAAGATATGGAGGTATATGAGGACCTTGAAGTCGTATACTTCTTATCATTTCATGAATTTTCTCTTCCCCTACCTTTTCCCATATCATTCCACATTACACACTCCCTCTCGCTCTCACTCTTTCCTCCCTCGCTCACGCGTCATCCCCCTCTCACTCCCTCTCCCACTCTTTCCTTCTTTCTCTCTCTCACTCTCTCTCTTTCTCTCTCTTTGTCTGTCTCTGTCTCATTTCTTCTCCTTTAATTTAATTTCATGATATAAATTAGGTGAGAAAAGTTCTTGCTCAGAATCTATAGGAGAAGTTATTATTAACTTTTAACAATTTAAGGTTGTTTTAATTATCAAAAGAATTATTAAAAATTCGAAATGAAGTCACAATCCAAACAAGTCGGAAAAAATGTATTGAATAATTTTGATTATAATAAATAATAATATGTGTCTAAGTGTGATTTTTGTAAAATTATAAAGAATAGATTAAAAATATTATGTAAAATAAAAATAAAAAAACTATTAATTCAAAGTGAAAACCTAAAAAAAACAAAAGATACTTAATTGCGTAAACGTTTTCAGATAAAACAATAGACGAACAGAGTATACCCTAAGTTAGGTCTGATTTCCTTTAGTATATGAAAACTTAATTATTCATGAACTGGGTACGAATTACACGAACTCGATGCGAATAAAAGACTTCACAGTGAATCATTCTGAGCGTGCGAGAGTTATGTGCAAGCAAATGTTGACATGAGATGTGCAGCAATTTTTTTTTTTTTGATTATTTATTATGTGCTCTAAAACCATTTGTGTTGGAAAACGCAAAAAAAAAAAAAAAAAATTATACAATAAATTTAATAAAAAGAACAATATCAACTCTGTATTTCACTCATAACTTTCCAATTAAAAATTGGCAATAATAACGTAGTGTGTAAACAACTTTTTGATCTTTTGCTTTTAGAAAAAGATTTAAACAAATACAGTTTAATGAAAACTAATTTAATGCACACTGATAAGGGGCAGATATTATACAACATAGTAAAGATATCGATCTCATTGATTGCAGCATTTAAACGCATTCAATGCTTATTAAATGAAAATTGCACTGCATTGAAATACGAACTTTTGCGAATAATCTTTGCTGTAGATTTTCTTGTATAACAAAAAAAAAAAAAAAAAAAAAACGAAATGTGTTTTAATTAAAAATGGAACAAACTTAACGAATTTAAACAAAAAAAGTAAAAACAAAAAAAAATAAAAAAAAATAGAAAAGAAAAGACAAAGACAAAGAAGAAAAAAGGAAAAGTTTTTAAAAAAAATTTTTTTGACAAAAGATATTTTTGTCTCTAGTTTGCTATTAAATAGAATGAATAAATTAAATAAGCATAAAAAAAAAAAAAAAAAATTAAAATAATTGAGCAAAACTTTTTGTAATATACGTATATCTTATACTAAATAATGTTAACATAATGTCGAAAATTATTCAATTAAATTTTAAAAGTACTGTTTATTGATAATAAGATATAAATTGTAAATATAAGGGGAAAAAAACAACAGCAACAACAACAAAAAGTCTATAAATAAATAAGCAAAAGAAAACAAAAATAAAATAAAAATAAATGAGTAAATAAATGAAAATAGATATATAAAACAAAAAAAAGTACGACAAAGCAAACTACAATTCATCCACGTTGGAGCATATCGTGATTATCCCATTATTTAAGTTGTATGCATATGCAAAATAGCGGCCTTCCCCTAATTATGGCTCGAATGCTCGTATTTTTACAATTTTTCAAATTTTAATCATTAAATCATTAAACTTTTAATTCATATCTAATATATATATATATATATATATATAATTAATAAGATATGATGACTTTTGCTTTTTTCACCCCCAAACCAGTTTCTCCTTTAATAGCTAGTACGCGAGCGTTGGTATGGCGGCTCCTATCAAACTTGTTATGTAAAATTAGACCAACATTACATGTGATAAGTTTTTCAGTTTTCTTTCAAATCTCAATTATTCCGGCTATAGTAATTCGAGAATAAGACGGATGACCAAACATAGTTAAACGCAAATTTGTATGGCCTGATTTTTCAATGGCGAGTACAAGTAAAAACATTAAATGTAGTAAAATGTTATTAAAGAAATAAATAATTTTTATATGTACAATTTAATGTAACCGAATTATATCTAAACTAATGGTAAGAGCTGTACAAGCTACGCGACGATTCTTTTAGGAAATTACATAAAAGTAAAGAAAGTATGATTACAATAACTCTAATAATAAATTTTATGCATTCATCTTGAACGAACAAAAAAAAGGTGCTAAAGAAAGGCATCCTTCTTATGTAATTTTCTTATCTTGACAAAAAAAGAAAATAAAAAAAAATATAAAAAAAATAAAGACAAAAAGAGATATTAATTGTTAAACGTTTTTATTAGCTAATTTTAAAATTGCTTAAATAAATTTTTGTCATTAAGATGTAAAGAGAATTGATTTTTTTCAAAAAAATATTCAACTTCATTGGATAGTTTATGCAATTTCTACCGCTGTTTCGAGTGCAATATTAAGCAGAAGAAAACCGATATGGAGATTAGGAATTTCTTCTTTTTTTTTTTGGGTTTATTTAATAATTTTTAAAGAACATGCAAAATTTCGTCCTTAAGCTAAGACAGATCGAAGTATCAAATCATCATCATCATCATCATTATCTCAACAATTGTGACTAGTAAGTTGAACGCAAGAAATCAAGCCAGACGGGGCGGGGCATGCTGAAACCACGTCACAAAATGATTCTGAATCGATTGATATAATAAAGGTAAGGATAAGTCTATGCAGGTTCTTCTGCGTACCGAAGGTAATTTAGAATATAACAAATGAATTTTCTACATAATCAGCGACAAAGGAAAAGATTTTTTTTTTTGTATTTGCTAATGAGTAATCAGTGGGTAACGTTCTGCTTGCGATAAGTACGCGCTAATTTGCACTTATATAGAATAAGCATGAAGAAGGCAAATATGCTGTTAGAAAATAGTAGTTAATTACATCATCAATAATTTATGCCCCGCACCGGATAAAATACTATGCACTTAACATGATCCGGTGCTGTATAAATGTGAAATGTAAACCGCGCAAGCTATTGAAAACTTTAACATGCTTTACTTTAATTACTTGTTTCCACTTGTTTTCATCGTAATGTTTCTTTACTACGTTTTCATAAAATTAACCTATTTCTTGAATAATGGCTATCATCAGATAACAGTCTCTTCACTACAATATGCGCATACAAGAGCTGACGCGTCGTAAACATGAAAAGAATAACAAAATAAAAAATGTTCGGAAGATATTTACAAATTTTTTAAATTGTTATGATTTTTTTCACTCATATTCTTTAATGCAGGACGCTGGTAACCTATGCAGACTGTGTCAGCGTTCCAACAAAATGTTGAAATATACTTTCGGGGTTATTGGATTATATTACAAGTAAGTATTGGTAATTTTTGCAGGCGATTTTTTCTCGTTTCATTCGTTTTTGTTTTGATTTAAAAACATTAACTAAAGTTGGGTTAATTGACACTGATAATTACCTCACCGGATACACGTGTTGGACGCAAGCCCCTGCATATTTGAACTAACAAAATTTTCGGAATAAATATATATGATATATACGACAAATTTGGACTATATTACACAAACACATTCTCACATTCCGTTCAAGATCTGCAGACGATTTCATCCTGACACCTTATAACCCATATATGCTATTGAAAAACGTGAAATGCTAAGCTAATTTAATTATGTTAATCCATATGCTTGGAATGGTTCAAAATTGCCTCAAATTGAAAAGTAGGCTCATAGGTAGGTTCATACGACGGCTGTGGTAATTTTTTAAACCGCCTCTCATATAAACCATTCTACGAAACCTGAATTTTTATACGGTAAAAAGGTGTAATTTTTCTATATTTCATAGTGAAAATTAGTTCACAATAGTAAAGCAGGCATACAAATCAACCTTACCGAATTTAGACCAGGCAGATCTGTCTTTTCGATACCACCGCATATGAGGATTCTCTAAGAAATTTTATATGCCAGAAACGAGTAATTGTTAATGTTTTAAGATGAAAAGTCGGTCATGATGGTAATTTAACATAAAAATGAAGTAAGTGGTCGAAATTTGAACCACATGGATCTATTTTTTAAATCATCTCTCACATAATTGTTTCTACGAAAATATACTTTTATCCGGCAAAAGAAGACCTAATGTTTAATATATTTTCCATGATAGTAACTAGGCATAAAAATTAACTCTGAAAAACTTGAAACACTTAGGTCTATATTTTCAACGCATCGTATAGTTCAATTTTTAGTGCTTTATAATGAAAACAAGCGAATAAGCGAGTAATAAGATAAGATTTAGAACAAATTAAAATTTACTAAATTTGAAAGAAGGTCAGCTCACATTTTGTGCCCATTTCCATGAAAAGGCTTCCATGAAAAGTATGTCTTTACTTTGAAGCAAGGCATAATTTTGGATATTTTCTTTGTGAAAATAAATTAAATATTCTATTAGGCGAAACGGTGTGAAATTTGTAATCGTGGATCTTGCCCGAATAAAAAAGGTCAATCTCAATTATTGCCACTTGGATAATTACAACAACGAAGAATCGACGGGTGCACAGATGAAAATGCTAAAATTAACTGAGAGTTATTGGATCTTTATCGAGTAATATCATTGGATCTTTTAAGCCTATGTTTGTTTATTGCAAAGAGAATAAACTCATGATATTCATAGTGGAAACATATAACATCATGCGAGATAGAGGAACGAGAAAACATAAGAAATAAATCCAAGAGAAAATCTATGGTAAGTGTTTTCCAAAGGTTAACAACACGTGAGTATTAAAAAAGTAAACATGAGTCAAATGTAATCTAATCTCATTGGTCAGCGACAACTTATTCCAATTTACCATAAAAAAGTCATTTTACAAAAAATTTTTTAATTGCATCCGCCCTTAAGGCGAGCGAACAAGGTAGACTTAAATTATACCAGCCATGCCCTAAAGTGATATAATTAGAGCATCGGAAATCAATGTTTCATTATTTTTCTAAATTCTTTTGCAAATTTGTATGCAATATTTCTCGTTCAGACTTA